GACACATTTTAAGTTATATAAAAGAAATTGGACTATATAATAGAATATGAAAATATATAGTTATCGTTATCGGTGTATATTATATATAGAAATGTAAATAAGCCTTTTCCATATTTACAAAAAAAAATGTTGTAGCGGTGAAACCTGTTGGCGCTTAAATGAGCAAAATTGTGTCGATAATGCTGTAAAACATCTACCTAATCATCGATCTCTGATGTCACCTTGTTATCTCAATTGAGTCGATAGTGCAGTGAAACACCTACTCAATCAATCATTCAACCTTGCTACCTTCTTTCTGGTATTTCTCTTAATCCTCCTAAAAGATCCAAATTAAAACCGTGTCAGTATGTTAGTGTTTTAGCGCCTATAAATGGCTGCTTGCACTGTATGCTTCCCCGGAAGTTGAGGTTGTTTCAGAATTCTCTCAGGTCTGCTGGGGTAATAGTATAGATTGTGAAACGCTTAGAGCTTGCTGTTGAGCGATGATTTGCGCTATACAAATGCTATCTATTATTGTCGATGGGGGTGTAAAATACTTGGGATAGCTGGAGGTGTCATCTCTGACTCAGAGGTTGTCGCGAGCTGCCGTTGCACGTTCTTCTCCACCCAGGACAGTCCTATGTTTGAATGTTGTCCTTCCATGTTACTCTTCCTCTGTCTCTGCCTCTCCTGTCCCACATCATTCCATCAAGCACCTCTTTCACAATGGTCTTCTTTTAACCCTATCTGTACGTCGTGTTTTACTGTTGTATCCATACGACGTGGGGAACTCTATGCCGCCACTTTCAAAGAGGAAATTCACTCGTTAATCCGATCCGTATGCTTTGCATAGCAGTTTACCCAAATGTTTTTTTGAGAAATACTGAAAGTTTCAACTCTCCCACAGACTGACTTTAAAATTAAAGTCAAAAAGTACACCTCCAGTCTGTGGGAGAGCCACTGGAAAAAAACAGACGGGTAACAAACTCCACAATATCAAACCCAAACTAGGACCGCGAAATCCTTCGGACCTCTCCAGAAGAGACGAAGTCGTTTTTACTCGATTACGAATCGGACACACGCCCCTAACTCACGAATACCTCCTTCAGGGAGATGAGAAGCATTAGACACATTTTAACCTAATGTCTAGACTTCGGAGAGATCCGAAGGAAATACTTTAAATGTAAAGAATTGCAAGACATTTTTTCCGTCGTTGATCCCAACAAAATTTTGAATTTTATGAAGGCCATTGGCCTTTATGGGAAACTGTTGAGCAAATTGAATTATTTAAATTTTTATGTTATTTATACAAGTTGTTTTAAATTGAAAATATATATCTAAACCGAATTACAGCCGTACAGTGAACTGCAAATAAAACTAACTTGTGTTTCGCGCGCTCATATGACCTTATGCAGTTACGAGCGTCGTAAAACCCCATACTGAACTAACTGAAAGTTCCAAAGAGATCTTCATACTAAAAGTATTCTAAAATGTGAAGAAAACAACCTCGGGGGAATAAAATGACCCCAGGGCGTACGGGTAGGGTTAAGTGACCAAAGTACCGCGTAAAATAGCTACAGCAAAACGTTGTGAAACAAAAAGCAGCCAGAAGATGCAGGGTTGTAAAGAGCTTCACTCACGCACAGTATGTTTTTCTTTTGCAGGTCGGCCTGAAGCTGGCCGAGACCAGCCCCCTATGCTTCCTGCAATGCCTGTGGGACAGGCGGATCAGGCGGATCCTGCAATGCCTGTGGGACAGGCTGGTCCTGCAATGCCGGTGTTGCAAGCGGATCCTATGCAAGTGGACTTACACCCTGACCGTCCTGAGCTTGCAATGCCGGCGTTGCAGGCTGATCAACCACTGGCAGCGAACGACGTAAGTTTTTGTTGTTGGTGTGGGATTTGTAAAGTTTTTTTGATTCTGTATTTATTCTTTTTTTGTTGGTTCTTTTTAAAATGTTTTCCCCTCTTTCTTGGTTTTCTTTTGTTTTAGAGGTAAACAGCGCCTACAACTGCGTTAAGGTCGTATTTTTAGAGTAAAGACCAAACATTGAGACCTCTGTTAGGATCAATGAAGGAGAACAAATTCTTCAAATCAGTGCGTAAAAAAGTAATTCCTTCAGGTCTCCCCAAAGTCTGGCAAATTCCAGGTCACCAGATGGGCATCGCATCTGACACAAAGTTAATGTTCCAATCTTCCCAATGGATCTTGGCAACCTCTTGTTTCCCATTTTTATTCAGATATCTACATGTATATATAATTTCCACTTTTTACTTCCAACATTGTATACCTGATATTCCGAATTTAATGGGATTTAATTTATATTTTATAAAAGTTTTGAAATAGATTGTTCGAAATTAAGTGTTATTTAGAAAGTTGTTTTAAATTTAAATTTAAATCTAAAGCTTATTTACACTCGATTTTTAGCGTTTAAAAATTTTTAAATAGAAATATTGACCAGTATCAAGCCGAGAAATGAACCGTTGAGAAAAAACCTTGTTTCGCGCGCTCATATGACCTTAGGCAGGTGCGAGCCTTCCATTTTCCAACATAATACTGTCATTCTCATTTCGCCTTTTTTGTAATAGAAGCTGATTAGTTAGGATCTGTTCTTAAATATTATTAGTGGGTGGTTGGCGGGTGGTTGGCGGGTGCTCCGGTGTGGTTTGCTTCTTTCCAATCAAACATCTATCGTCCTTGTCTCCCCTTCTTTTATGTTTGTTACTCTCTTGTAACACCCCTAATCTTCTGGCGCTCATATGACCTTATGCAGTTTCGAGCGCCGTAAAACCTCTACTATAACTAACTAAAATGTTCTTTAAATCTGTTTTCAGCTTGGACAATGCCAGGAACTTACACTAGTCAGCGGACGCCGTCGACTTTGCAAACGGAGACGGCGTCTATCACAGCCTTACTGCAGGCAGCACAGTAAGACTTTCATATTCTCATTTGGCTTTATCAGCGAAATATGAATTTTAAATTGTTTGCTACATTTCTGATTAATTAGCATCGTGTGTGTATGTGCTTGTGTGTGTATATGCTTGTGTGTGTGTGTGTGTGTGTGTGTGTGTGTGTGTGTATGCACGCACTCGCACGCATAAGTGAGAGAAAGAGGGAGGGAAGCGTGAGAAAGCGAGAGAGATAGTGAGAGAGTGAGAATGAGAGTGAGAGTAAGAGTGAGAATGAGAGTGAGAGTGAGAGTGAGAATGAGAGTGAGAATGAGAGAGTGAGAGTGAGAATGAGAGTGAGAATGAGAATGTCAGTGCCACTGACTGTAGTGTCTTTAGGCCATTCCTAAAGGGGGGATATTTCTAGTTCAAGCACAGTAGAATTGTCACGCTCATAACTGTGCCTGATCTACAACAGGGAACTGCTGCTTTTTCTTTCCTAATCCTTGCTATTGTTATTTTCCTCTACTTCTTTTGTATGTTTGTCACTCTTTTGAGAGCTG